GCCGGCAGAATACTCATATCTCGTCGTTCTGGTAAGCCTTTACAGCATCCGCCCATATTGTCCGCGGCCCTTCGGGCCTTCTGGCACAACGGAACGGTTCCCAATCGCACGCCTCTTGTGCCCAAGATCGGCTTTCCGTGTCCATGCGTTTTGACCATGATACAGCCGCTTTGCGATGCTCAACCACCCAATCACGCAGTCCCAAATCAGAAAGCTTCTGTTCCGCAAAATGCGCCCCACGCACATAAAATCCCCCCAGAATGTTCATTGAAGAGGAGGAAGGGAAAGGGAAGGAACCTGATGAAGAAGAACTGGACAAGGAAGATGATGTCGAAGAAGAACTGGATGGCCCGCACGCTCTGCGTCTCGATGCGCGAAAGATCATCCGTAGCATTCGCCTCTGCGTTCGCCGGATCTTGCCCTCAAGTTCGCGCGTGAGCATCCACGTGGCAGACCCGCGCAACATCGTGGTGGCCACTGTCGAATCGAACAACTTGAGACGCGAAAATATGGAACACTGCCGGTCAGTCAACTCTGCACGCTACTTCATGAAACACTTTCACGCCTTTTGAATACGGTTGTTGATTTCTACGTCGCGCGGACGATCAAAACCCACCACGCGGTCAAGACGCTTGACGCTCCCGCCGCACGGTGCAACATCAATCAACATGTCGTCAATATTCACCTTCGTCTCTTTCGGCCTGCCGGTGCCCCGCGCAGCGTTGCCCCGGATGTTCGTCTTGCTGGAATGTAATTCCAGGCCAACTTTGGCTGCGGCGCCTTTGATATATTTCAACATGGCCTCGGCGTGTCTCAACGCGGCGGCAACAGTGAGGATGTCGCCCGCGAAGCGCAGGTAGGTCAGTTGCGCGCACTCGGCAAAGCCCATCTTAAGACCCCAGCCTTTCTTCAACCATTTTGGTTCGACTTCGCCCACGACCTCTTCGATAAGACAGTTGAACAAAAGAGTGCTCAAAGGGCCCCCCTGTTCAGTTCCACGTTGCACGTCTTAAGGCTTGCTGAAACAATCTGCGCGCACTCGGCCTGTTCGACCTGCGCAAAGCTTTCGACGCAAAGAGACGCAGCCAATATGAACTCCGTGCCGGGCAAGAGAACGCCAAAGACAACGATGTTCAACACAATCGAACGCATTCCTGAAGTCGCGAGCGGCGCGCCACAAGTTGCACCGCCACTCACGGCACTTCTCTTGGAGCATGGACACCGCGAACATGATGCAGAGTGCTGAGCTCTTTTCTACAACCCGCCTGGTCCATGCTCGGATGCTTGCCCAACATGGGACGCACCCTGCTGCGAAGAAGCCCTGCAAACAATGCGCATAACAATGGGGTGATGGCGATGGGGCGGCAATTGTTCGCATCGGCAGCGCCCCCAGCTTCACGCAACACAGTTACAGCTGACTTCTTCCACGCTTCCGGCGGGAGTGCGCTCGGGGAAAGTGCGTCGCTGTAGAGGTCTAAAAGGAAAGTCTCGCATGCGCCGCCGCCGTTCTTCAACGCATCCGCGCGCGCGCCGTCTTCGTCGCAGCACATGCGCCGCCGCGTTTGCACTATGCAAGTCGCCATGGAGATCAGCAAATACATGTGCAATACTTTGCCGATCAGCGCGCGCGCCCCCGTCGCTGTCCTTCATACGCGCGACAAGCTGCTTCCTCTCGACGCTCTTGAACTTCGGCATGCTCTTTGCGACCTTGAATCCCGCGAGAACCGCTTGCATTCGCAGCGTCGCCCGGCTTCTTCTGACCTCCCGGACTAGTTCGCGAATGATATTACTCAATTCCGCCCCCTCTGGCCCCGCCGCGTTTAGCAGACCCTTCCGCTGCGTAAGAAGCCACTGCAATTCCACCTCGTCGTTCGAGAGCTGAGCCCGTGCACCATGATCAACTTGAGACCTGGCAGCAAAAACAACCAATACCTTTGCGACCGGCTCGCGGTCCTCACCCGGGCCCCCTGCGGTCTCCACGCGCCGGCCCATCGCGCGAGCTTCATCGGCAAAGCGGGATGCGTCAACACGCTTCCAGGATACAGTGTGCATGCGTTTTTCTTTTGCGTTTTAGGCCTGGCCGCGCTAGTAGGCCGCAATTTGAGAAGCACTGCATTGCGATCGGGGCCCACGTTCAAGATATCTGTCGCACATGAATCCAACACCTGTGGCAAAAGCTTGAATTCAACCAAAATATAATCCATTTGACGCTTGTTACCGTTTGCCCCACAATGCGCAATGATGCGCACGTCCCTCTTCGAGAAATAAAATTTTCGCGATGTCACGCCTCTGCGCGCAAGCCCACGTCGCCAGCCAAAGACCTCTGCTATTCTGGTCGCGCATACCGCATGGGCCAATGTTTTTCGATGCGTCGCCGTCCTCTCGCCGACCCGCCTGGGCATTAAAGTCGCCAGCTAGAACAAAGCCAGCACCACTATGCTTGGCTTTCCGGCGTAGCTCGGATATCTCATCGCATAGAGGCTGCACGTGACAGTCGGGATAGCGACGGCGCGGAAAACACGCTGCCGCGATGCGGAACTCCGCGCGCTTGAGCTGCACATCGATGTATCCCACATGCTCTGAAATACGGTCAACTTGACAACATGATTTGCCCATTTCCCGTGAATCAAAACGGCTACTCCCTCTGGCTCCTTCCACCCCCCGCAACCTGCAAAGAAGTGCCCACCATCGCATACAAAGTACTCTCGTTGATCTTCACGCCACGTCTCGTTGAGTCACATGAAGTCCCAGTCTTCCAATCGAAACTCATTTAGTAACTCTTCCAGTCGGCTGTCTGACATAAGCCCCCTCACACTCAAAGGGAAAATGCGCAAGATGAAGCCACCACTCTCGTCAATGCTGCAATTGACGTCGCCCTCGGCGTCGATGCCAGCAAGCTCGCTGCCGCGTAAAGCTGCCGCCGGGAAACCGCCAGCAACGTTTGCGTAGGCGCCCCTGTCTCCACCAAAATTGTAGAAACCATCATGAGAATGTCCGTCCCCCTTGTACTTCACC